GTGGATACTTCGAAGCTCTGGTGTAGGCCAAATGTAATCATCTGGGTATAGAACCATACAGTGAACTTCACTTGGGTAAAATGGCTGTCCATTTGTGCCTGTGCTCCAGTGATAGTCAACATGGCCCCTGTTGCACCCTCAGACAAGCACTACTGTGGAGAAATGACTTGGCATAACTATTGTTCTTCTGAAACGTGTCTCTGTGAAATCATGGTGTATCTCAGTTAGGACCAAGGCCTCGTGTTACAGTCAAAGACCTGTGTAGTTGCTTAGCGACATTTGATGAAAGCAGGCAAGAGACAGATGTGTAGATGAGGCTAGTTAGTCAGTTCAATTTGGATTGCCTGGAGATTCTAGCTAGGTGGAAGAGAACAGTCTGGAAATTACTGCTAAAAGGTGACAGTTGATAATTAGGAGTTCAGTCAGAGTCAGATGGGGAATTCATGCTAGTTATAACGAGAGAGAAAGATAGAAGGTGTTCTAATTAGTTTGTGATGTAAAAAGCACTAGGCAAAACCTGAGGAGGAAGTGGCTAGCCATTCTTTCTCTGTGGAATAACCTTAGGTGAAAATAAGCAATAGGCAGTAGGTGCCTCTGTTATGCCAAGGGGCTGACCTGTGATCTGGTTGGAGGAAGGTTTTGTGAGCAGCCCATAAAACCCTTGACAAATGACCCCAAGCAGCTAGTAAAACAATGGTAGAGTTTGGATGTTGGAGGAAGACTGTACCCTGGAGCATTCTAAGGAGAAATTGCTGTGGTGAAAGTTTAGGGAACTTGGTCTAGGTAATTCCTGTGTCTTTTGAGTTCTAAAGGATTGTCACTAAGGGTAAAATATTCCATCAATTGCACAGAAATTACCAGAGGATCATGTCTAAAATCATACATTATTGTTTAAGCAGATATACCTGTGTAAACTGCACATGGAATTTTAACACTGGTGGGAGGGAACACTAGGGGACATGTCTGTCTGTTTCCCTAAAATTTCAGCAAGACGCACAGGAAGATAATATAACCCCATGGCCCAAACAGAACCCACCAGCTTCCACATTTCTGGGAGGGATAAGGAGATTTTTTTAAAAAGTATAAATGGTAGGATTTGCTTGAGCAAGAATGAAGTGGAGAAACTAACAGTATTAGTTAGTTTCTGCACTTTAGTTCGGGCATTTTTGAGAGTGTTCATTCATGGGGTTGCTATAAGTTGACAGTCACTTGGCAGCGCACTGCAGCAGCAGCAGCAATGTAGGTGTGTTAACCGGCTATGTTACATTCTAGTGACTTGCTAGTACTTTTCCAGACAGGGTTGCTACTGCAAACCTCTTCTTTAAGAGGTTAAGAATTTATTCATATTCAATCTTTGTGTTTTTTTCTCATTACTGGGGCAACTCACCACCTCTTTTGTTTTGTTGGCTTGAATGACTTCATGTTACATTTGCAGCAATGCATCTGACCATAGTTAACACTGAGTAAGTTGCCTGCTTTTGAATCAGGTTTGCAAACAATTATAAGAGTCCGTGGAAGTATAACACTTAATCCTGAGTTAAGGGCAGTAGCTAAAGCAGGAGATACTTCATATTTGAGATGGGACAAAGGATAGCTAGGGTGCCCACTGTTTCCTGTTCATTACCTAACCATTCTTAAGGGATTGGGAGCATTATTTCTTTAGCAGAACTAAATGGTAGACAGGATAAAGCTTGTCCTCTTTCAAAGAAAGTAGTATGAATTTGCCATTTAGCTATATGGATTCTGATGTTTGGGAGATCTGTGAGATAGCCACTATTTTGTAGGTTCATTAAATACATCGCTGACTGAAAAGTAGATGTGTTAGTTGTAAAGTGGAGGAGACATCCAAAGAATGCTTATGTCAAGCCTTTTATTTGGGCCATACTTGTTACTGTTAACTTTCTTAATGTAGGGCAATAAATAGTAAGAGCTAAATTATCCTTTTACAATCCAACAAGTTGCCTAAACCACTGTGTTTTGTTTTGGTCCAAAATGACAACCATTGCATCTGAAATTGCCTGTAGTCACTACAGTTTCTTATCCCTCAAAATGGTTTTCTTCTATTTGTATGATGTATTATCTAGCCTTGCATTGCTGGAAACATCAATATAATACTGAAAGAAATAAAATCACAATGAAACAGTTTATGGTCACATAATTTGTACATAGCCAAAAGGAATAATAGCAAATAGGTATGCAGTGCACTCTGTTTTCATGTTACTAATCTTGGAAAATGTGTTTTCCTCACTTTTAAACAGCTGTACTTACTTCATGTGTATTCATAAATCTGCATCTGACAAATGCAGGATTTCCACAGGAAAGCATTTCAGTGTGTAGAATGTTACTTCTAATTACAATGGATTGTAATGTCCTGAGGAACATGAAAATAGAGGTTTGTTTGTTCATTTATGGATACTGCTATTTATACTGTAATAGTAATCTTCTAATGTGGAATTTAAAAAACACAGACAATAAATCATCCTGATATTTAAGATATATTAAAATGTACAGGTATCTTTACAACTCTCTTGTACAACTCTCTTGTCTAGGAACATTCACATTCCTAGACAATAGCACTGAATTTTTAGGTGCCAGAGCTTTGTGGTATCAAAAAGATGCAGTCATCAGTATGTTTTAAGGTCTTTGTATCTCTGGTTGTTCTTCTGTCTGTTTTAAGTGGTCTGGAACATTTATAACTACAGTGGCAGGGAGGGGGTGTATTACGGAGGGGGTTCCTGCCTGTTCCCTCAGTTCTTCTTCAGCTGCTCTTTGCATCTCCCTTTTATTTTTAGACTACTTTTGTTTGGTATCCTCTTAGCAAGGTTGTTAGCGCTTCTTAGCCCTTACTGCACTGAAGGCACCTTTCAGAAGGAGTAAGTTTCACCTACTGGTGGACACTGTGTGCCTGTTTGGGGGGCCAAAGGCCGCACTGTTGACTCTTGCCCACACTGTCAGGCCTTTACGAAGTAAGCCCAAAAATACAGGGCACACTGTGTTTACAAGGAATGCATGTGGAATAAGGCCTATCAGGCAGTGGACATGGTGAAGACTATGGAAAAGGAACACATTTCCACCCTATTGGACCCTTCAGTTTCTTCTCGGCAGTTTCCTCAGTCGTAGCTCTAGCCATGGGCCAGACTGACTGTTGTATGCCCGACCAATTACTGGTATTATTACTGGTAATAACTGCAGCCAAAAGGTTGTCCAAGAAAGCCCACTGTTTCCAGCACCAGGTAAAGAATTTTTAAAAATGATTTTTCCATTCCTTCCAGCATAACACTAACATTTTGGTTGCTAATTATTTTCATTGCTGTCCTGCTTTTAAACCTCGACTCTTTCTGCTGTTCTATGTAACGGTCTGGGTGGTTTTCTTCTTTTTTATTGTGAATTAATATTTTAATCCTATAGTATTAATATTAATACTATTAAATATTATGCACTATTAATATAAATAGTATTTAATTTATTGCTGTAAGATTCCTTTTACATTTATTAAATTAAAGCATCACATATAACATTAAAATAGGGGTTTGTTTTATGTTTTACTTTCAACCCAAGAGGTTTCAGGGGTTGTTTTGTTTTGTTTTGTTTCTTTTTAAGAGGCATTCTTATTGACTTGATCCCTAATATAGATTAATTTAAAGAAGACAGCAAGTTTGCTGTCTGTTCTGTACTCCAGAAGTCTTAAAAGAGGGTCACGTAGCCCTCCTGAACCATGCAGGATGCAGCAGAGTGGCTTCTGGTGGGAAGGAGATGACAGTGAGATATTTTCCTTCCGTGATATTTCTTAAGGGTTCAGTCCTATGCATGTTTAGCTAGAAAAAAGTAATACAATTCCCAACATGTTGGAGCCAGCAAAGTTAGAGGGATGCTGGAAATTACAGGACATCTTCCTGTCTAAACATGCATAACATTGTGCTCTAAAGCCACAGCCTGTGCAGGTTTAGATTAAAAAGGCCTATAATTCCCAGGCATTTTTTCTGTCTAATTTTGCATAGTAGCGAGGTCTAAGTTAATTTATTTTAGAATCCAAATCATTGCGTTTCTCTGCATTCAGTGGACTCCACAGAGTTCTATCAGTGCATTGGCTGATGAGGTTTGAGGGTGCATTCAAGGAATTCTGGTTTTATGCTCACAGTCTTCTCTGTAAATGCTATATAATTTATATTTTCCTCAACTATCTTGTTTATTTGTGGCTCTTATTTTCTAGCAGTAGTTCCTGATAAATGATTTCATGTACCCCTGTTGAAGTGGTCTGTTTTGAGTATTTTTTAAATGAACACATGGCCATGGAGGCCATTAGATTCCAGTTATTCTTTATGTCACACATGAACACCAGGGAGCCATGCAGTATACGGATAAGCCATAAGGATCCAGCAGTGAACTGTTTCTTGAAAAATATAAAGCTTTATGTACAATATCATTAATAAAAATATGAATTCCTAAAGAAGGAAAGTGGACTATCAATACACAATCCTACAATAAGTATATTACAGCTTTAATTCATAAAAGCAGTTTAATTCAGTCTTCAGTAGAGTATGGGGAGGCGAACAGTGCTGAAATGTGTGTGTGTGTGTGAGAGAGAGAGAGAGAGAGAGACAGACGGAGAGAGAGTAGAAATGAGGGATGCTTTCTCATAGGAAACATACATCTCAATTTATTCTCTTATTTCTTTCCCCATGCAGATTTTCAGTGTTGATTTTTTTCCATTTACTATTTTAAAAAAATGATTCATATTAGATTCAGTGCTTGAGAGCAATAAAATATCTTAAGGGGAGGGTTTCATGAAGTTTAAGGCTAACATGCCAGTTATCCTCAGCATACCTTCATTTGTTACCACTGTTAATCTTCCTTGTGGGTTTGGGGAAATACTATTCCACTCTCTTTCAGCCTTGGGCCTGGCTTCTGGAGCCTGATTACCTTCTATGTCATTATTTAGTGCCACAGTATGAATTTCTGAATAAATTAGCATTACCATCTTCTTTTTTGTCTTTTGACAGATGCAAGACAAAAGTCTACCCTGATGAACTACCAAACACAAGTGTGGTCATAGTATTTCATAATGAAGCCTGGAGCACTTTGCTTCGTACTATTTACAGTGTTATAAATCGGTCTCCGCACTATCTACTTTCTGAAATCATCTTAGTTGATGATGCCAGTGAACGAGGTATGAGTGAGCAAGAATCAAAATATGTTTAGGAATAAATAATAATGTCAGGATAATATTGTAGCAAAATGCTACAGTAAATAAATAAACAAATGTTTAAAAGAAAATTATTTAGTACTACTTTTAAAAATGACAGAGAAATTATCCTGGGTCTATTGGCACAATGGCTAGAGTGGAAGTGAAAAGAAACATGTACTCATACCAAATCAAATGGAGGCTACAGGTCATTTAACAGTCTATTGTGTAAAGAGGGCTTCTGCCACTTTGTTACCTGTGTAAAGTTACATTGCAGAGCTGTTCAGAGTTGTTAAGGCATGGATAATCAATTTTGAGGAGTCTGGTAGCCTTTTGTTCCCAGTGGGCAACATTAGGGCTGGTGAAAAAATTCAAATTCAGCAGCAAACTGCAACAGAAAAATAAACAGGGCAAATTTAGTAAGATCTCAGCTGAGCGCCGAAGAATTGAGGACTTTGAATTGTGGTGCTGGAGGAGATTCCTGCGAGTCCCTTGGACTGCAAGGAGATCAAACCAGTCAGTCTTAGAAGAGATCAACCCTGACTGCAGAAGGCCAGATACTGAAGAAGAAACTCAAATACTTTGGCCACCTAATGAGAAGGAAGGACTCCTTGGAGAAGAGCCTAATGCTGGGAACAATAGATGACAAAAGAAGAAGGGGACGGCAGAGGATGAGGTGGCTAGATGGAGTCACTGAGGCAGTCGGCGTGAGCTTAAGTGGACTCCGGGGGATGGTGGAGGACAGGAAGACCTGGAGGAATGTTGTCCATGGGGGCGTGATGGGTCGGACACGACTTCTCGACTAACAACAACAAGTCACATTTGGCCTTGCTGCTCTGTAGCAGCTACAGTGTAATAAAAAGGTCACATTTAGCTTGAGGACAACCTAAATTTGACCCCTTTATCCCTATATAACAGTAAACTACTGTTACGGTGTGGTGTTTTTCATCATGGCCACACATTTTGGTTGGAGTGCATGTTGTCTTCCATTTAACAGGTGAGGGGTTTGTTAAATGCCGACTCACAGGGAGATAGAGGGACTCTTGCTAACCTATTGTGAACAATTTGCAAAGTACTTTTGCAGATAAAATTTATCAAATTTGCTTTGATCTAGGGTTCTGCTTTACAGATTTTGTTCTAGATATTCCTGTGGCTTCTGTTTCTCAAGTTTATATGGATACCCTTTATTTTGTGCTAATGTCAACAGAGTTCTTGAAGAAGTAAGACTTACTATGGGATAATCCACTCTTATTTGTCATGACTTATTCACTGCGGCAGAGGGTCTTGCTCAAAGGATGCCATGTTGTTAAGATCTCATTTACTGTGTGGTTTAAAAAGAAGCTGAAATTGGCTGAATGTTAGAAAATCCCTTACTAGAACCCTTACTAAATTCTGAGGCCAATCTCAACCACAGAATTTTTGGAAAAGGTTCTAAAGTGTTTACTTGCAGCAAAGCTTCTGGCACTTCTGGGTGGCCCAAGATAGCTGGATTCTTTTCAATATAGCTTCTTTGACACATGTCTAGGATAATTCATACAGGGAGGTTAGATAACAGCTATATGTGAGCCTGTCTGAAGAAAGTTCAGAAATTTCAGCTAGATCAAAATGCAGCTGGGAGTCATAATTTGCAACATCTACCTTCATTTACGCTGACTTTCAAACGGTTTCCAGGCTCAAATACAAATGCTTAGGTTACCTTTTAAAGTCCTCAGTGGCCTAAGATAAGGATGCGTAATGGACTGTTGCTTCCATTCTGAGGCAGCCCATTCTCTCACATAATATGATTCCCTGCTTTGCTCTGCATTTTATAGGTAGAACATATTTCCATTAAAAAAAGACCTTCTGGAACAATGCTCCCAAACTTGGGAATTCCCTTCCTCAGACAGCCTATTCATTTGCACTGATTCTGGATTTTTGGCATATGGAGAAAACTTTATTGTTTAAGACAGCATTTAAAAATAGAGTAATTTGGTTAGCCTTGCTGCTGCTTGCTTATGTCTTGGGAATTGTTGCACTTTATTATGTGTTTGATAGCACAGCATCTTTATCCTTTGACTTTAAAGACAAATTAGGGTGTCTTACAGCACAATCCTACGCTTAGAAATCCCATTTAGTGCAGTGAGGTCTGTTCCCAGGTCAGTGGATCTAGGTTTGCACCCTTCCATGCCATAAAGATGGCATAGAAATGCTTTGATGTATAAATAATGTCTTGCCCATCAACACTTTTTACGTTGGCTAGAATATCTATTTTTTTCTGTTTTATTATACTGCTGTGCTCTCCTAAAGGAAGTGCTTTCAGAAGACGGCCAGCTTTTTTATACTGCTAAAGAAGCTTTTCAGAGATACGATAAGTGGTATATGCTGTGTCAGATGGGAGGAAAAAAATAATAATTTTCTGCAACCCAAAGAGAGAGAGGCTCTCCTCTGTGCCACCAGGATCTTCCAGTCCATATGGACCAAACTGGGACCAAATACTCTGCATACAACTTCATGTACACGAGGAAGTGTGTCTGTGGGTGTGGGGAGGAGAGAAGATATTCCTGTTAATGTACACAAGCAGCCACAGGAGAGATTGTCCTATGCTGACCCATATTATGCTCAGTTTAATTCAAAAGAAATTGTAAAACAAAGAGCGATTGTATTCAATTCAGTTTTCACATAAGTAAGTGATGACTTGCTGTTTTTCCTTTGCTGGCCTTGCTTGCCTTCTTTCATTCTATCTTTCTCTATATGTGATGTCACTTTATTCAGAATTTTCTGATCTTTCTGTATGTATTTGTTAGAATGTTGTAAGAAACATTCATATCATAAGCAGATTGGTATCTTCACCATGCTTTTCTGTTCTATATTTATTTTGGCCTCTGAGCAACTGAAGAAACCCTTAGTTGCATTTACTTTCTTATGTTTGTATTTTGTGCTTGTGTTTTGCAGATTTTCTGAAGGTCCCATTAGAGAATTATGTGAAAAATTTGCAAGTACCAATAAAAATTATTAGGATGGAACAGCGGTCAGGACTGATTCGAGCTCGGCTTAGAGGAGCAGCAGCTTCCAAAGGCCAGGTCATAACTTTCTTGGATGCACACTGTGAATGTACTTTAGGTTGGCTGGAGCCCCTGCTGGCAAGAATAAAGGAAGACAGGTGAGAAATTAAATATGGATGTTGTACAGTACTTGTATGATTGCTGCATCACCAGGAGAGCTTTCACTAGGTTCTCTTTATTATTAACTACGCTATTTGTGAAGTTTAAATCTCAGCCATGGGAAATGTTTCCTGTGCAGAAATTATGCTAAGCCTAAGTCCAGGGTCAAAGAATCTTGCTGATCTAGTCTGCTGTACACACATTTTACTAGATCCTGATAGCTCAACTGAGTGGTTTAAAATGATGACTTCCTGATAAATGTGTAGATTTACTTGATTAAATTTCATGTAATCCATGAACCTAAGATTTCATTAACTAAGTGATACTCAAATTTCAGAGTTCACCCAAAATATTTTGTTGATTCTGCTGAGCTTTGCTCCTTTGGAGCCAAAAATCCTTGTAAGCAAGGTGCCCCCATCCCTTCACTGTCTTCTAAACAGTATCACTTTTAGAAGTGATCAAATAGCAGTGAGCTTGCCCCGAAAAGCTTTGATATACTCTCCACAATTCCCTTTCCATACTGTTGGTGCTCTCCAGATAGGTTGGACTACAGCTCCCATTATCCTTCACCACAACAACTGGAGATTATGGGAGTTGATGTCCCACATATCTGGGGGCACTGGGCAGAATGTATAAATAATGGTTTTGTTGTTTCTGCGCCTCCCAACTGCTCATTGCATTATCAGTCTTAATTTGTCATCTTTGTTTTGATTTTTGTTATCTGAATTATACAAACTCAGTGTTCTTACTTTGTTCTCATTAAAATGCTTTGTGATTAGAAAAAACTGAATTTCTTATTGCTTGCTAATAGACAAAGTCCCATATAAAACATTTGTTCAGTTTTTGTACAAACTAGTGGAGCCATGGCATTGGATCCATAATAGTTCCACCAGTGAAGGGATGCTACTAGAATAATGGGATTTCTGTATTTTTTCCACACCTCTGGATGCACCAGAGGTTCAGTTCCAACAGTGGTATGCATTAGCGAAATGACCATTCTGGATCCAAACCAAGATTAAAAGATAGCAACTTCCTGTGAAATTTAAAAAAAAAAAAAAGATGACTGTTGATGAACCACTATCTGCAGGAAACTATTCATCAGTAATTCATCAGCTGAGCACATGCAATTTAAAGAGGGTGGAGAGTTAGTTTAATCACACTGCTTATCTTTATTCTGACAAGCAGATGATTACTGCTTGTTGAAAAGGGCTCTGGGAACGCAGTGCTGGCAACTCCACACACATGTTGTGCAGCCAGAGATTTCCTTGTGTGGAAAGTTAAATATTTGCATATTTATTACTTGTTTTTAGGAAGGTGGTTGTGTGCCCAATTATTGATGTGATCAGCGACGACACTTTTGAATATATGGCTGGGTCAGACATGACTTATGGAGGATTTAACTGGAAACTTAATTTTCGTTGGTATCCTGTTCCTCAGAGAGAGATGGACAGAAGGAAGGGAGACAGAACTTTGCCTGTGAGGTAAGACATATGGGCAACAAACACTCCATGATCACAGACTGCTTTGTTTGAGTGTGTGAGAAATACCTGTTGATGTATAATTCTTCTAGATTTATGCAAATAGGACAACAATTACAGAGATCAGAACAATAGTATTATTGTGTGTTTAACTGCATGTTTTAAATTGTTTTTATTTTAAATCTGTATTGTTAGTTGCTCTGAGCACCATTTTTGGCAGAATGACGAGATATAAATAAACAAACTTCAGTATGATAGGTAGTAATCTACATTACAGCCTCTCAAGTGGTTTCAATTGTCTTGTTCATGTGTATTGAAATCATGAATTATTTTGACTGTTTTCCCTTATATTCAAAGGAAAGTCTTTTGTGGTGGGTTGCAAGTTTAATGATTAGAACAGTGGAAAAATACATTTTTTAAGCAAATCAATCAATTGAAAAATTTAAGTATGAGCTTATAAATTTCTCTTGAGAATTGTAAGTACAATATTTGTTTGCCTGATCAGTGTGGGCCTCTGCTTGTTGCAATAAAAATTATGGTTGGGGGAAGCACATCTTTTCCTCTGACATTTCAAATGCGAAAAAAGGAAAGTTTTTCTTAATCACTGCTAGATGCCCTCTTCACACAGCGGTGACGTTTTCACCTGCTGCAAGTTATATTTGTTCACTCCAAAATAGCAATTCGAAGACGGATGTGTTACTACAGCAAACACACCAATTTACTTTTTGTTCTTACATTAATGTTTAACAGAGTATATAATCTGGATGTGGTATGTATTATGCAAGGAGCCCAGACACAGTCAGCAACATGAACTTTCTGGTTAGATGGCCACAGTGCATATGCATATGCATCAAGGAAGCATTCGACCTCTATTTTGTGACTACTTTTAATCTTTTAATTGCTTCTAAATCTTTACACCATGGGTGAAGGAAGCAAAATTAGCTGAGTTGCCAGATTGTGCTCTAGTGCTCTCTTAAGAACCAGATCATTTCAGGGAGTTAGGACCCACCATCTAACATCATCAGGTCCCCAGCCATAGCGAAGGTTGGAAGTCTTGGAGCCAGTACTTCAGCTAGGGATCTAGTTACTAGGCATACAAATGTTTTAATAAATAAAAAAAATACTCTCATCCTTCACCTTTGCAGGGGAGGCAAAGTATAAGTGAAACACACATGAAACACTGGTGGAGAGTGTCTTTGTTCCTCCCTTCCCTTCTCTTTGCAGTGAATTGCACAGTGAAAGTGAATATGTCAGTATCTTGACTGGCCTTTGGAATTGCTTGTTCCGGCCACTTAGGGGGAAATGAATTCCCTGTATTTGGTTTGAGATAGGTTTCATGAAACAAGTCAGTTGATCTTTAGAGCAATGCTGATGCAAAACTAGAAACTCTGAATGAATATGGACTTTAAGAGTTTTGAAGGCTTACCCTGTGGCAGGGGTGACAAGGAAATTGCACTTGGCTTCAGTAATTCAGCTTCAGTCATTACATCTATGAAGAGTTGTCCTGGTGAACTTCTTTGTGTGCCTTTGGGCCTGCTATATGTTCAGCCCTAATGGGGCAATGAAGGCAACTCATTGTAATTAATTTGCAAGACACTTTGCAGATACAATTGCTTGTTTCTCTGCTGACTTGGATACTATACTAAGTACAGGTCCGTAATCAATATATCCCAGCTCCTGTTTTTTTTCTGGTTATGATGGATGTTTTTCAAGTTGTACAGGCCAAGGATATTGGCAGGAACCTTGTTTATTTATTTGTTTTTTTAATTCGATTTCTTAGATTTCTGTCCTGCCCCTCTAGCCAACATGGCTCTCGGAGAAGAGCCGTGGAGAATCTTGGAGAAGTTGAAGCCTTCCACCTGTGTAGTCAACTCTTCCCCTGGTTTACAAGTCCCACTGAGGGGTGAGGATGGGCAGTAAAGTCACTTCTCTACAATAGGGTATGATTCCATCATGTTTAAAAGAAGTGATGATGATACCTCTGTTTAAAAATAAAACCTCCCAGAACCCTGCTGCCCTATTTGATAATTTCTGGTTAGTCACCAACATGCCCTTCCTGGGCAATGAATTCAAGCATGTGGTGTCATTTTAGCTTCAGGTATTCCTGGATGAGGTGTTTTGTCTTTTTAATGCATCTTCTGTTCTACTTAAGGAGCAGACTGCTTTGACCATCTTGGTGGATGATCTAAGCTGGGAACTGGGCAGAAGGAGTCTGCTCTACTCCTTGTGTGGACTTCTTGGCAGCTTCTGTTTCTTTTAATCATGGTATCCTTCTGGATCGTCTGGCTAGAATTAGACCTGAAGTAGAACTATGTCTGGCACCTTGACTGTTGGCTTATGGCAGCCTTCCCCATCCTAGTGGCTTTCCTGTGTTTTGGACTACAACTCTCAGCATCCATGAGCATTGGCCATGCTGGTTGAGGCTGATGAGAGTTGGTATCTATATTTGAAAGGGCTACATCCCTTCCTTTGAGCATTCAGAATATATCTAGATCAACATTCACTGCTTTAATTAGCCAGAAACGGCAAACATCAAGTGAGTTGATGTCGAAAACTATGAGCTAATGGACTTTGCTAATGATCTGATGTATTTAAGATACTTGTTTGTCATTTGTTTGTCCTTTACTTTTATGCTGACATCTTTCACTAAATGTTTGACAATCTCGAGATCTGTTGTGATTAGTTACAGATGGATCAATCTGAAAAGTTATTTAATTTGTATTGTTATTATCTGTAGATAATTAATTAGATCCTTTCTTTTTCCACTATGGATCTATAATAGTTTATCATGACTATCATTGTCAACATGTAAAAAAGAAGTAACTGTGTTTAGAAGGACAAATCACTCATCTGTGAGACGGCAGTCCTCAAACTGGATTGTAGACTGCCTTCTTTTCTCATCAAATTATAAAATAGCTGTTGGAGACTTGCAATGCATGCATAATACCAAACAAATAGTAACACACAAGGTTATGCAGATGCTGGGGAAAGCAGCTTCAAAGAACCAAATGCAACCTAGTGAAATGGAGCTGCTTGTGGAATTCCTGGACAGCAGAATCCATTTTGACCTGGGACCTACTGTGATCCTGAAGAGGCTGTTGGAGGATTTTGGGAGAGTGGGAGACCTGAGGGGAAAAAGAGGAGAGCAGTGACTGTGAATAAAAGGAACCATTTAGAGGAGGGGACCATGGAGGATTGGATAACGGCCATCTGTTCTTCTGTCGCATGCACCAACCCAGCAGCAGCATCAGAGTTAGGGACATGACAGAGATGCAGGTTTAAAGCTGTATTAAAGCCCAGGGCTCAAGAGTAGCAGGCAGGTCTGAAGGATTCTGACCATTCTCCCATGAAGAGCTAAATCACTGGGCTGTAATATATCTCCCCCTACCCCATGTTCAGTTAATAACTTCACCCTTTTCCCTATTCTATCAAGTTGCCAGTTGCTTTTGAGAACGGTGGGTTGGGTTGGTGGGCTACAGACAGTGTGTTGATTTTAGGCATTGGCATTCTTCCCTGTCATCTGTACTACTACACCTTAAAGCTCTGATTGCGTTGCTCACCTTAAACAGGCACATGCTCATGCAGAACTGCTGCTTTGGAAATTTGGGGTTACAATAATAAGCCTCTGAAAATAAGTGCCAGTTTTGGAGACAATGGGATTCACTTTCACATGGGATAAAAATCAATATTATTTATTATTATTTATTTCTTTTCTAAACCACACGATAGCAATAAATAAGCAAACAATACAATGCAATAGAAATATAATAAAACAATAAAAGCGACAGTGTTAAAATGAATTTAAAAGTAATTAAAAACAGCTTAAAATATACAGTAAAGAATAACAGCTGATATGACAAATCACTTTAGAAATCCCCTCAGGCCCCTGGAAAACTATGGAGACTTTACAGGTCTCTAGAGTTGTCTCAACCTGACCTGAATAGATGGCAAATTTCGTGCCAGGTGGGCTGAAGCAGGAAGAGTGTTCCAACAATAGATGGCCACTTTGTTGCCTTAGCAAGTAGCTTTTCCATTTATCAAGTAGCATTGCAAGATTATTGAGAAGCTGAAGCAACAGAAATATCAGCTTTTGCAAAAGCTGGCAAAAGTTAATTATTGCCATCAAAACCAGCTGTAAAATAGAATTGAGGGTATAATCTGTTCCTGTACAAAGGGAAGCTCTTTTGACATACTTTCAGTGAACAGAAACTATGGGATATCATTTTGTTTTGTTTTTAGTAATTAGCAATACTTAATGTAGCAAACAAAGATTTAACATTCATTTGAAATAAATTCAGTCATGCCAGTAAAATTAAATTCAATACTTTGTGGTTTATATCTATTTAATATCAGTCTTCTCCTATTTAGACTATCTTACCTTAAGTATTTCGTAAAAGTACTTACATTTTAAATAGTCTCTTTAAATTCAACAGTCCTGTTCTGAAGTAAGATCTGCTCAAATTATGGCCTGTTCATTACTTTTCCCTGAAAGAGGTGCAAAGCAGGCATGTTCAGTGGGCGGATTCACATGTCACACTAGGACACCCTGCAAGTTAGCTACCAGGGATGGGTTGTTCCCTTGCTAACCACTGGGCACTGTGTGGCTTGCCATGGCTTATTTCCCTCCTCAGCCCTCCTGCTAGCTCCAGTTTATATCCCAGATACCTTTGTGTCAGCATTCCTCATTTCCTCAGATCCTCTGTCATCCCCTTTTCTCCAGTTGATCTGCTGAGGTTGATGCATCCTGAAGGAAACATCTCCCCGCATCAGATTGCAGAATATAATTAATTTTCTGAGCATTTATGAATGTGGTAACACATCTGCAAATGTGTGTGTGTGTGGATTAAGCTTTTGAGGCAAGTCTGATATTTAGCCTAGCATATGGATGCCCACCTTTTCAATACCCTTCTCAATGTTATCCTCTATTTCAGTGCTTCCCTTGCTAATGAGCATGTTTTTAAAAGGCTGCTTCATATTACACTAAAGTAAGAACTTGTGTCCCCTAAAACTGCTTTCTTTCCTGTAGGCACCAGCTACTTTCAGCTCCTGCCTCCCCTTCAGATTGGAAAAAGGAAATACTGTAATGTTCTGAGTCCTCATTCATTCAAGAATGCATTCACAAGTTCATTTTATTTTTAGTTTTGAGGACTTGTGCTCTTATGCAAGAGTGCAAGATTCACTCTCTGATATTTGGCTAAGCTGATCCATATCATCTTTTTGTCAATATTCTCCACTCTACCACTTTCCTTGCTATTTATTGACCTTTTTTGGAAGGCCTACTTAGCGTTATACTGAAATAATAGCCTCTTTTCCTAAAGTACCATCTCTTCTGCGGTTGCCAGTCATTTTCAGGGCTTTGCCTGTCTCATGCTTGCCACTCTTCTTCATTGGTCACCATATCTAGCTGCCTGTGTGCATATGGTTTACAAACTATTGGGTGCAAGAACTAAACATGAGAGACTGTCATGGTGAAACAGTAAAATAGGGTGGAAAATGCACTGATGGGAAAATAGCACAAATTTCATCACAGAGCAGTAAATTGGTAGGAAAATTTATGTAACTTTACTGATGCTTTTACAGGTTTGGAAAAAACCTGAATTTGTGCAGTTCTTAAGTGGGCTTTCTGCTCTGTTTTTAGGATTACAGATTATGGAGAGCACTGAGAAGGGACTGGGGGAAAGCGGGTGACAGTGGCACTAGCTAGATAACAAGGACCAGCATGGGTTTTAGTCATTTCTGCTAGGTGGAGGTCTGAATCTTTCCCAGTGAAGTTGGTTGTCTAGTTTGGATGACAGAAACTTGGGGGTTTTAATCTGTGTAAACCACCCAGAGAGCCCTCTGGGCTATTGGGGTGGTATATAAATGCAATCAATCAATCAATCAATTGCCAGCCAGCCAGCCAGCCACTGTAGGTATGAAGTCTCTAAAGACAAACCATGGATTCTCAGGATGGCTTGCACATGAAAAATAAGTCATCCTGCAGAGACTGTGCTAGATTTACAGATCACAACAACTTTCCATGGCCATGGTTGGTTGTTGTGTCATGCAAACTATGTCAATACACTGTAGGAACATAAAATAGCTTTATCGCTTGCTCTGGCCAGATCCTCAGTATAATGCCATTGATTCAGAGGTCAGAATTCCCTAGCCTCTGAACAAGATAGGAAGGTGGCAAAAGGTCATGTACTCTTGGTAATGCCTGAGAACACATGTGCCTGTTTAGTTAACTGCATGGTTTCTGATTCAAGATCTTCCAGCTCTGATTTATACCTATGTTTAAAGAGATGGCCATTGGAGCTTGAATATATTATTAAACATTAAAAGCAAAGATGAAAATGCTAAAAAATTGAATTACCAGTTTTAATTTAAAATGAATACGACATGGATTTGTAGCCAGACCAAAAATAGTAAGGTATGGACTGCTTGGGTAACTTGGTCCATACTGGAACTTTATTGAATTTTAGCATTACAGGATCTGTAACAAAGATAACACTATACAGGATCTTACTATTGCAGCCTGGAATGAGGCCCATGTGGTCCTGGGCAAAACCAAAGTAATTTTCCCCGTTTCCCCTTCCTTTCCTTTTGTCAATTTCTCCAGGGAGGCCAAGAAAAGATGGCAGCAAGGCCCCAAATATAAGGTCATAGGACAGGTCCCACGGATAGAGGAGGGGAAGGTCTTCTGTCTTCTTCATAGTCCAACAGTGGAATGCTTCTAACAGCACTTGGTGGGCATCTCTGTATTCTGTGCAGTTGTGTAGTTGTGCACTTTTTCAGGTCAAAGCACAGCTCAGAAACGTTGTGAGTTGATATTTAAGAAGCAGGTTCTCTTGCCCTCTTTGTCAGCTACTGAGTTGTAGCTCTATGTCTAGTGCCTTCCCACGCTGTTCCCTTCCAACCACTACTGCAACAAAAGCAGTAGGAACCCCCTCTATTCTTCACTATGTGTGCTTCTCTCCTCTTTTTATTTTAGTTTCTTAAAGGGCTACAATCTTAAGTGCACTTGAGCTCCAGTGTGGTTTTTGTTTGCGTAAACACACGCTTGAGATCGTGTTGGTAGTTTACTTAGGCTGTTAGCTGGTAGTGTGGGCAGCACTTCCAGGTATATTTTAAATGGATGGTCTTTCTTCTTCTTTTTTCCTCCCTAGGATATCTCTTCAGCCAAGCTCTAGTAATGCTGTGCTTGATTGTTCATGGCATAATATAAACACCATCTGCAAACCCATGATAATTCAATTTAATTATTAGTAATTGTGTTATTACCATTTATTTTTTTTAGAAAAAAATGAATCAGGGATAGATGGTTGTTGAATACACTCATTACTGGTCAAGTGAATAATTTTACATGATAAATGTGAGTTAGATAATTAAAATGCCAACTATGTGGCCATGTGACTTATCAATTTTAGTACCTAATTTAAACTTATGACATATAGAAAAATACTAGTAAAAATACTAGTAATACTTGCTAGTAATTTCCAAGAAACGAGTCAAAGAGAGTTGTAGAATCCAGGCTGCTTAAGCAGGCTGTGGTCACTGGAGAAAATCCCAGGCATCACCATTTTTTTCAGATTTCCTCTCTTGAACCTGTAGACATTTCTGTGATTGTAACAAGGGGACTTCATAATGTGATCCCTCCCCTGCAGCTGCCATAGAGAGGACCATTGTACTTGTTTTTCTAGGTTTATGTTCATAGAAATAAAAAAGGGAACATTTGGATATTTAGGTGAAGCCTAAAGGGGCCTGGGTAAAAATAGAAAAGGGGGGAGGGTTCTGTGACAAAATATACTTTCTCTTTTTTAGAAAAATTCAGGAAAAAAGCTTTCCCCCATTTTCTTCTGAAAATCAGTCTCTCTCTCTCCCCCTCCCCCTCCCCCTCCCTCCCTCCCTCCCTCCCTCTCCCCTTCATATCGTTGAAGAAGCCAGGATATCAAAAATCCTATGGCTTCACTAGAGTCATCCCTGGAAGATGCCACTTCTAGATTGACTCACAGGCCTTGCTAGAGAGAAAAAATGAAAGCAGTGGGATGGAGAGGTGAAGACTGCCTTCCTCATTTCTCCTACGCTGCTGATCACAGTTTAGTAGGGCACTGGATTCTCTGATCTTGGAGGCTTATTTGTAAGGTGTAACACTAGACGGAAAAAAAAGACTTCCAAATATCAGCATACTCCAGCCAACCATGTTATGCTGGCCAGGGCACTGGGAGTTGGAGGCCTTTTTCCTGTCTCAGCTTGCATAGGGTTGCTCACTTAATTATGCTAGGAGTAAATCCACTGAATTCAAATAGGGTGACTTTTATTTATATAATTATTTATTTAGAACTTTTGTATGCCATCCCCCATGCAAGGCATCTTGGGACGGCTCACAATCAGTACATTAAAACGATCAATAAAATCACATACATTAAAACAATCCAAGCGGTAGAAGCAATAAAACGTGACTGTTACATTAATACTAGTTTTTAAAGTACCGGTTAAATAAAATGGAAAAGAGAACAAGCTCAGCGCCAGGCGAACCAATTAGCCGATATCCTCCTCATCCCAGTGGGTCAGCTGTTGAGCGAATGGGGATCCAACTCAACAAAGTAAATTCTTTGGGCTGTATCCATCAGTGGCCATCTGCAAGCAAAAGAGATGCTACTGCCAGAATGGATTCTTCCTGCTTCCCTGCATGTGCACTGGAGACTTGTAGAACCACTCAGAGCAGATTGGGAAGGAAAGGCAGAGGCACTTGCTGTTGCATTGATGAACAACCACTCACACGGTCTTGGATATAACCCACTGGGGACATGGATTTAACTGAAATCAAGTGAACGTTTCTTTACATATTGAATTCAGTTCTTATTTAAAGAATTGACTATTCATCTTTCATGTTTGTACTTGCAGGTGTTGCAAAGAGAAAATATTTGTGTATATTTTGTATATTTGTAAGAAATATATTCAACCCTCCTGTCCTGTGTCATGTAAAGAAGTAAACCATCCATTTCTTTCTCCGCACATCATAATACAAGAGTCAGTGTTTGGGTTGTGCTTCTTTCCTAACTCTTTAAACAGTGGATATCTGAAAAAGTCACTCCAAATCATAATGGAGAAAAAAGCTACTTTGCTATAGTTTCAAATATATAAGTATGTGTTTGATAAATCAATGGAATATAACCAATAAAATCATGTGAGTAAAATAGTTTAGTGGATGCTCAGTTGTTCATTTGTGCATTTCAAAGAACACATCTGTGTTACCCAGTAGAATTAAATAATTAAATCAATTGAATATCAGTTCCTCATTCTTTGAATTTTTAAATATGAAATCAATACAGGTATTACAGTGTATTCCTCTTTAAACAGACTTTAAAGAATTTAAACTAGGTTTAACCTGTTTCTAGATATGTATAATGGTTCAGGCACTGAAACTCTGACATACACATTCACAGGATTTGCATCTTCCAAAAGTTTATATCCCTGTCATGTGATGATGCCTGTTAATTTTATGAACATTCTGGGACATTAGATTCTCCTCACTAAATACTTCAGATTCTATTTAGATTATTTTGGGAGAAATAGAAGCCCGATATTTTACTTGCTTAATAGTATGATGACTTTTTGAAGAAATAATTTTAGACTATTAAAATCTTTAAAATTTGGCCAGTCACTGGAATATATATTGAATTTCTTGGCCAATGATTGCACATACAGGCAATCAAAATTATGAAGCTTACTAATTCACCTTCAGCTTATAGTAAATGGAAAATAATTATGTCTACAATGTCTGGAGGTTATATGCTATATCACCTAATAAATTCCACACAGTATCTTTCAAAAAGTATTTTCCTTTTCCTTTTTTATTTTTCTTTTGTTTTCAACTAGGACCCCTACTATGGCTGGTGGCCTATTTTCTATTGACAGAAACTACTTTGAAGAGATAGGAACTTACGATGCAGGAATGGATATCTGGGGTGGAGAAAATCTTGAAATGTCTTTTAGGGTAATTTTCCATTTTACTTCCTTTTCTAATAACTGGCAGTTTTCCTGTTAAATGTTAAGATTTGAGAAAGGAATACTTTTCCTTTGTTTGATCTAAGACAAAATCTTCGGTGTGAAATTACAGGTGAACTCTACCTAGTGTCCTTTCATTGACAGAAGGTTTATGTCAACAGGAGAGAGAGGAGTCAACTCGCCTTCCCTCTGCATCCTCATGCCTTCCAAAATCTATTCTAGAGGTTTCCCCAACCCTCCAGGGCAGCTTTAGGGGAAGGGAAAAAATCCCTTTCCCATTTTATTGATGGAAGTCTTCTGTCCATTGAGGGACACTAGTTGGATTTCATCTTACACTTTTTAGAGTTGTGCTTTTTTTTTTTCCTTTGCATGAAACGTAACACTGTTTTAGAAGCTTTGGATAATTGAAAATTGCATGCTGTAGTTGCACAGATTTATGTTATCAATGCTTTCAATTTAATAATGGAAATGGCAACATATGATGATCTAAATTAGTACATAATATTTTCTGGCCAAAGCCTCCATGTGTTTTTGTCATGAATCTGTGAATTATTGATGGGATATTTAAAAGTAAAGATATAAAATTCACATCCTTGAGAAGTCCAAGTTACTTCAGTCATCTGTAGGCCAGATGACTCTAGACAATGTTAGAGTCATCTGTCCATGGCAAAACTGGAATTTCTGATCAAAATAGCTTTATTTTGTGAATGTCCCTCTTAAATAAATTAGAAAATTAAATAATCTTTAGATAATCAGATAAATGGGAGGATATGACAAACAACAAATCATATAATATCTGCTTTCTAACAGAATTAGCTTTTATACCAAACCGTCAGATGTAGCATTCAGCTCTCCTGAGTTCTGTTCATAGCATGTACAACTTAATGTGTAGAACAGTCTTTATCATGCATGCATCCAAGTGCCTATGCCAGTTCCTGTATTTCATCCATGTGAAAAAAATTCCTGGATGGATTGCAGGTTAGATAGGTTGTGTATGTACACCTGTTATAGAGCTGGTGTGGGGACACATTTGCCAATTTCACAGTTGTATGTCGATTATCATACGATGGATGGCTAGGTGAACTATGTGGCGTTGTGATTAAAAGTGCGGGATTGGGTCTCGGATGACCTGGTTTCTAGTCCCTACTCATGGAGTAGGGACTAGATGGCTAGGTGAACTATGTGGCGTTGTGATTAAACGTGTGGGATTGGGTCTCAGATGACCTGGTTTCTAGTCCCTACTCAGCCATGGAGCCAACTGGGTGACTTTGGGCCAGTCACAGGCTCCCAGCCCAACCTACCTCACAGGGTTGTTGTTGTTGTTGTAGAGATAAGATTGGGAGTCAGAGGAGACTCTGATATCTTATCTTATATAAGCTGCTTTGAGTTCTTCAAATAAAAAAGGTAGGGTATAAATCAAATAAACTAATGAATAAACTGGTGCAAGTGGCTTGTTACATAGAACTTACATGCCAATTGACTGCATGCAAAGCTTATACTGTGATATTGAGCACTATCTATATGATTTTGAGACAGGAAGGAGTGGACATGCTTTGCATGAAGAAGGTCCAGGATTCAGTTTCCAAATAGGGCAGGAAAAAGCCATGTCTGAAACTTTGGAAAGCTGCTGACAATACTGGGCTAGAAGTACCTATGGTCTAACTTAGCCTGTTTGCATGATAATGTGCAAACCATGCCAAGATAGCACCCACCCTGGGTTCACATCACAGGGCATGTGATGAGGTGAGCCAGTGCTGAGCCAGTGAGGTTAATTTACAAATTTTCCGGACACACAAATGCCACTGTAGCAAAATGGATTACTCAAAGGCAGGCTCCTATGTTCTGAGGTTTCCTGCAAGCAAGCATTTGATTCTTGCAACAATTTCTTACTATCATGACTTTTGTGAAGCACTAGGCGTACTTGAGGAGTTGTGAATTCTAATGTGTGAATAGCAATTTAAAGATTTCATACTTCTCTGAATGTTGCAATAAATTGTTAGTTCAAGAATCTTACCAAATTGCATTAAGAAGTATAAATAGGTTTAGAATTGCATACTGATTCCCATAAAGTACACTTATAGGGATGTCTTTTGTGATGCATCAGGAATCTTATGCAGATTTTTTTTTTAAAAAAATTGCACACTCATATGGAAATGGAAGTGCATTTCTGAGTACAGTTGATCGGGACCAAAAATTAACTGGGAACTCCATACATCCTTGTTCAACACATACTGTTTGTTCAGTAGATTAAACAAGTTATTTATTTTCCTGAACAAACAGTATGTGATTCAATTTTTATTTTAAAATATTGTGTATGACTGAAAATTAGAATTCTGTGATCCTAAATTATACAATCACACACTACAATCTTGCATGTGTTGCCTTAGAAGGAAATGTCGGGCTTGCTCATGAGTAATTGAGTTTAGCATTGCTTCCTTAATCACAATTCCCTTATGTTCTAATGAGTGTCCATATGGCTGGTCAGAGCCTTATGGCTTGTTGAGCCCATGGACTTAGATGAGGAAGGATTAACATGTTTTTAACTGGATAGGTTACTTCCCTGTGTCCTTTCATCTGCTCTGGTACTATCTCTTATAGTATCACTGGTAGATATTAACCAGGCAACTTCTGTGACAAGTTTTTCATTGACACGGAATATCTCCATCCCAGCCCAGTTCTGCACATCTGTATAAGAGAGAGAGAGAGAGAGAGAGAGTGGTGGGAAAGAGGCTTCATAGCGTTTCCTGCTTTGAAAAAAATCATAGGAATAGCTGGTTTTATGTAATGTGTTCATTAGTTTAGAAACATCTTCTAGACTGATCTCCTTGTGGACACAGGCTAAGTGTTGCTTTCAGTGGGAGGGACAGCTGGTTTCTACTCAGAAGTGATGAGAATAGTTTCATGTTGTTACTGAGCACCTCCCATGTCAAGGTGAGGTGAGTTAATGATAAGTAAATGACATGAGTGAAAAGTCTTTTCATTCGTACTAGTATCAGTAGAAAATTAAGTACATACTTAGGTCTGTTCCCTTGAAATCAGTGAGAATCAAAGTACTTGCATTTGGTTTTTTCTCTTAACAGATTGCATTGGTGAATGTTACAATTTGCATCTTAAGATTAGTCCTTGCTGCTTAGGTGTCTGGGACATACTGTAAACTAGATCGAGGTGAAGCACCTACCTGTTGCTGCTAAAACACCTTTCAATTTAAGAAGACGTTTGTTAGAAAACACAAATCCATAACTGTTGTTGACCTTACACATGAGTTTGTTGTTGTGTTGTTGAGTTTGTTCCTTGAGAAGAATTTCATTAAGGATGCAATCAGTGACTTAATTTGTTGATTATGTGGTTATAGAACCGATAGAACACATCTGGAGGACAGCAGGTTGAAGGCCAATCTATGTTACTGATGGGCAGAGACTCCCAAAGATTATCTTCTAGAACTAGTTATGACGAGCTATGGCTTACCTATTTTGATAGCCTTTTCCTATCATTCAAAAGATATAAATTCTTTGTATCATATAATCAGTCTGTTACTTATGTTTTTGCAGAATTACAATACATATCCTGAAGTAGAGATTTTTATGTTTTCATATATTTTAATTTTAATAACACAAATTTTTCTTAAATTTAGCATTTCGGATTGTCTTAAGAAGTCATTAGTTGGGCTGCAATAAAAAGAGCTTAGAACATTGCAAATTAGGCTACTTGGAAGAGTGATCCTATGATTCCTATACATTGCCTGGGAGACCGTAGGATAACTTGGATTCTGATACTTGAAGTCCTCCAGCTTCAGAGCTGGAGATACATGCTCTGGTTCCTCCTGCCTGCCACCTCACAGCTAGTGTGGAAAGAACTGTATTGCTTCTTCTCCAAGCCCAAAAAATGTCCTCAGAGATGGCTAAAGAACAAAAAGAGGAGGGAACTGGGGTTGGGAGGATATCATGCATCCTGATGGTACTGCAGCCTCTTTCCCTTGCCCTCTGAAGTCCCTCATCTAGAAGGCCAAGCTGAGCTGTCTAGCTGAAATACGAAGTAGTGGGTCCAGGGAGGCAGAGATGTGCCTTACTACTTCTTTGCACTGGATGCTCTTGAGTTTGGAAGCTTACAATTGACAAGAATGCACTCTGAGATGTAATTAAAAATAACTAAACAATAGGCATATAGACAATGCAAGCAGAAAACTTCTGAATTAAGGTGTATTAGTTTACTAAACGATTTCTTGAGCCCTTCTTGGATGCAAACTTGAACATGGTGAGAGGGTGTGAGAGTGTCAAAGAAGCCAAGAACAATGCTACCAGGAGCCCAGACTCTCTCACCAGGCTGGTTTCTGAGCTGGATGACACAAGCCAGAATGGTCAACGTTGAGACATGAGACTAAGATTTATCCACCCTCTTCAGAAGTAATGGTCAATTCAGCAGAAGATAATAAATACCTAACAGGATAAGGGCAGAAAAGCTTCTGAAGGGCAACTACTGGGAAGCAGTAGTTGAAGGTGACCCTGGTGGAGGATCATTTCCAGAAAATATCAGTGATGCTAACTGTGGTTAGAACTGCACAGAAGAAGAAACTCACTACTGGGAAAGAGCCAAGGACAAGTACAGATCACACCTTTGCTGTTTGTGAGCCATTTTGTAGCCTGTTGTGGATAAAGATGGGGTATAGATTTTTAAAAGAAATAAATACATGAATAATGGCATAACTAGATCAAAGCCAAAAGGAAGTCTAGTGGCTGACATGTACAGAAGTGAAAGGAAAGTCTGATGCTGCACAACACATACGACTCAGACACGGGAAGTATGAATCAAAGCAAACTGGAAACATAAAAGCAAGAAAGGGAACATCTACACATCACAGTACTTCATGCTAGTGGATGAAAGTGGACTGGAATGGGACAATTTCAGTCAGACAAACACAAAGTGTTTTACTCCGGAAATGACAAACTCAGAAGAAACTGACTGGCTCTAATGCTAAGCCAATAGGTAGAACAG